TGGACCCTTAAAGTCAGAGGAGCCCTCAGAGCAACCTCAAAGAAAAAGGTATTTGTGTCTCTTGTGTGGTTATTTTGCGCAGCCCAGTTTACCCGAGTGTTTTAGTTGTGAATGAAACCCGGCAAAAATCATACTCAGAAGATAAGACAGCTATCCAGAAGAAGATATAAAAATCCTTATGTAACTTGTTTTGATAATTCATGACACATAGACTTTATGTCACCAATAAATACCTATCTCATTTTCTATGTGTCTCTTCAGTAAAGTTTTAAGCTTGTAAGCTATAAATATGACATGACTTCCATATGTACAGTATATATGCAGGTTCAAGGCCTGATCCAAGAGCATAAAACTGGTGGAGGCTTAAGGGAAATGTCCACAAAATCTCTACCTGACTGATGAACATAAACAGAAATTTAAATGGTAACTAACTTATAATCACCTAATTAAAGAAGTTACAAATCATGCAATGTTCTAGTGAGTATATCTTATTTGTCCAGAATCCCTTTTAAGAAATCCTCTTGTACATTGAAGAAAGATAGGGTGAAGGTGGGAGTTCATAACCCACTAGAATCAAAGTGTGGAATATGATATGTCAAGAAATTTGTAATGTTTTGAACAACCCACAATAAAAAATTAAAAAAAAAAAAAAAAAAAAAAAAAAAAAAAAAGAAAGATATGAAAGAAAAACTCAAGACAATGGAAAGACCTCCCATGTTCAGGGAGAGGCAGAATTAATATTGTTAAAGTGTTCATACTACCAAAAGCAATATAGAGATTCAATGCAATACCCATTAAAATACCAATGACATTCTTCACATAACTAGAAAAAAAAATCCTAAAATTCATTTGGCAGAATAAAAGACCCAGAATGCCAAAGCAATTTTAAACCAAAAAAAGCAATACCAGAGTCATCACAATACCTGACTTTCAATTATACTACAGAGTTATAGTAACAAAAACTGCATGGTACTGGCACAAAAACAGACATACAGATGGTACAGAATATAAGACACAGAGACACACACACACATCTACAGTCATTTGATCCTTGACAAATGGTGTTAAGAAAACTGATTATCCATATGTAGAAGAATGATATTAGACCCTTATCTCTCTACATGCACAAAAAACCAACCCCAAATGGATCAAACACTTAGGAATTAGAACAGAAACAATCAACCCCTACAAGAAAAGATAGGATCAACACTCCAATGTATAGGCACAGACAATGACTTTCTCAATATGACCCCTAAAGCTAAAGAAATCATGCCAAGAGTTAATAAACAGGACAACATTAAATTTAAAAGCTTCTGAACAGCAAAAGAAAAAATTAGGAATGTGAAGAAAGAATCTACAGAATAGAATGGGGAAATATCTTTGCTAGCTGTTCTTCTGACACAGGATTAATATACAGAATATATAAATACAAAAAAACAAATAACCCAATTACTAAATGGGCAAATAAACTAAGCAGGCACTTCTCAAAAGAAGAAATACAAATGAACAATAAATACATGAAAAAGTGTTCAATATCATTAGCAATCAGGGAAATGCAAATCAAAACAACAATGAGATTTCATTTCACATCAGTCAGAATGGCAGTCGTCAAGAATACAAACAATAATAAATGCTGGAGAGGATGTGGAAAAAAAAAGAAACACTTCTATACTGTTGGTGGAAATGTAAATTAGTACAACCACAATGGAACTCAGTATGCAGGTTTCTCAAAAGACTAGGCATGGAACCACCATATAATCCAGCTATACCACTCTTTGGTATTTACCCCAAATAATTAATGTCATCAAACTATAGTAATATATGCATACCCATGTTTATAGCAGCATGATACAAAACAGCTAAACTATGGAACCAGCCTAGGTATCCATCTACAGATGAATGGATGAAGAAACTCTGTTTTATATATACACGGTGGAGTATTATTCAGCTATAAAGAAAAATAAAATTATGTCATTTGCAGGAAAATGAATAGAACTTAAGACCATTATATTATGTGAAATAAGCCAAGGTCAAGGGTCCTATATTTTCTCTCACATGAGGAAGTTAGGTAAAAGAAAAAGAAAGGCGTGTGTGTGTGTGTGTGTGTGGGGGGGGTGTTGTCTCATGAAAACTAAAGGGAGATCAGCAAAGGAAGAAGACCAGAGGATGGAAAGAGGGGAGAAAGGGGGAACAATACTGGGAAATTATATTGTTATATGCATATGTAACAACAAATCCCACCAATATGCACTACTATAATACACCAATAAAAAAATGTGGAAAGAGAAAGAACGAACGAAATCCTTTTGTTAAAGGTTAAGAAGGCTAATTATTAAGAGGGCTCCATTCCATAGTGATTGGTCAAGGAAGTGAACACATGGCCCAAAAAAGGAATACTGGAGCACTTCATGAAATTTTTATGAATAGTAGATGTAAATTTTCTTCCTTCTGGCTTGCAAATGATAATATAGACACATGCTCTGAGCTACACATGGTCCCCTCTCTCTCCATTTCAAAGTGTAATGCCTGACAACAAGGCCAAGGCTTTCTTGTTTAAGCATTTACTTTGGAAAGCAGAGACAAGGGATGGAAATGTTTAGCCCCTAGATCCAGCCATGACTGAAGCTAAAAAGCTTCATGAGTTTTTCATTTGTGCCAAAACATTTCTTTTCACTCAAGGCAGACATAAAGAAGTTTGTTACTTACAACTAATAGAATTGTGACATTTAAGATGTCTAGCTACTTTCATGGATAAACTACTTTGCTTGTGATGATAAAATCTTAAAAAATCACATCAGTATAGTTTTTTCCTAAAAAGTTTGCCTTCTTTAATTCTATTCTTAACATTTGGGTACTTGGATTCTGCCTGAAACACTATTCATAGAAACAAAAATAAATTTAGAAGTCATTGCATTGTTATTCTAATAAATACCAATTTAAAAATGCATCACAAGAAGTTAGACCAGATTAAGGAGTACTTGAGTTAAAAGAAGTCAAAGAGCTATTAAGTCAAAGCACCAGTACAAAGAGCTCAAGTCAGTCTACACTTGACATTGTAGAGAGGAAGGAGTTCCTCCAGCCTCACCAGCACCTGTACACTACAAAGTATTCTGAGAGACACTGTGATATGCCTAACATTGTCTTCTTCTTCTTTTTCTTCTTTTTTTTAAGTGGACATAATACCTTTATTTTATTTACTTTTTATATGGTGCTGAGGATTGAACCCAGCGCCTCACACATGCTAGGCGAGCATTCTACCGCTGAGCCACAACCCCAGCCTCCTAACATTGTCTTCTTAATATCAGAGTCTAGAGAATTAAATAATGTTAACAATAACAAAATCCTCAGTACAATAAATTCCAACTGATAACGTGTTTTCTGAGAAAAGCAAAAGGACACATGGGGACACAAATTAAAAAATTATCAAAGTAATCTATGAAAGAAAATTAAAAACAAAACTAAAACAAATGCTACTCCATCCCCCTAAAAACCTCAGAACAAAACCCTGCCACCATTCACTGTGTGTTGTCAAGGACAAACAGCTGCAGCTCCCTGCCTCATCTTGCATACCCGTATCCTCACCATAGAACACTGAAAAGGTGATGTCCTGGACTTTCTGGGCTTTCTGCTTAATACATTTCTGTTAGAATGCAACCCGCTTAGACTTGTCTCTGTGCTTATTCATATCCATGAGAAACAAACCTTCTCTTTACAAGTTCATACTCCAGAGCAGTACACTTTTACACCCAATTTTGCTATTTAAACAAAATATGTTTTCCACACGTCACTCGTGAGGAGACAGGTTCTTTCATCACACTTTCTGTTCATAGTGTCACTGTGATGCAGAATATGCTCAGTGAATTCCAAAAGCTCATGTTTCTTCAGTATTTACATAGCACTTTAACACTGAAACAAATGGCCACCAAATTTCTTATCAATCTGTAAAAACTGGGGAAGAGGGGACATTCTGTTGCTATCAGCCAGCTGCAGGCTATTTCAGGAATGTTCACATTTTTTTATGAATGCATTAATACATTGCCATCTGAATATCAGAGTTTATAGATTAAAGAATGTTAACAACAATAAAATTGGACAAGCACAATAACAGTCCACAGTTATCTGTATATGATAAGATATCAAACATACCTTAGTAAGATGGCTAATGTCTTACACATTAGTTATAATGGAAATCAATGATTGTTTATAGGAGTTTATATCTAGAGATAAATATTGTGGAACCAATTTCACTCACATAATGAAAAAACACTGTTCATTAAAGAGATGTCTAGCTGAGTTCAGTGGTGCAAGTCTGTAATCCCAGCTACTATGGAGGCTGAAGCAGGAGGATTGCAATTTTGAGGTCAGCCTGGACAACTTAATGAAATCCTGTTTCAAAATAAAAATGTTTTAAAAAGGACCAAGGGATGTGGCTCAATGGTAAAGTATCTTGAGTTGGGAGACGTCCAGTAAGGTACCTTAAAATAACTAACTATAACAGGCCAGGAACTGTGTTCAGACAGAGCTAGAGTCCAAGCCTTCATGAGGATAGGACACTATCACCTTTCCTTTCAGCCATTCTCCTCAGGAAGATGCTACAACTGTGACCAATTACACTAACATGGTGGGCAGGCAGCTAGCAGCTGGAAGGGACCAAGAAGAAATAAAAATCTTGAGAATTGCAGAGGGTGCTTCTTAGAAGACTTTAATCAGGCTGAATCCTGAGCAATGAGTGTCTGCTAAAGGCCCCAAGAACTGGGAAGCCTGGCACCAGCTGAGGATGCTGCTGTGCTCAGCTCTGTGAGGCCACTGCTATGAGAGGAGTATCACACACCGAAGCAATGCAGGCCTTTGCCTGTGCCTAGTGACATTTTCCCTATCAACTTCTTAACCATCAATCTGTGTGGCAACCAGGCAAACATACTTACCCTCTTGGGAAAAGAAATTATTCTTCAAAATATTATAAAATACACAAAATGTGGCAGGTTTAGCATGATACTTACAAGATTTTCCATATCTGTGCGAGCCAGCATGTATGTTCTGACATTACTATTCTGATGGAGCAGTGTGTACAAGAGGAGCGTTGCTTGATCAGATGTTTGCTGTTCACACAGGGCTGTGTACAAACTGTTAAAGTTAATCTGGAAGGCATGTGGAATTGATGAGGGGAAAGGGCTGCTATCTAGAATACAAAAAACAAGCAGATTTTTAAAAAATAGTGCATGAGTATTTTCTGGACCATGTTTTTTGTACAAACAATAAAAGCACTGTGAAAATAATGCATACAAATCAATTTCTCTTAGCTTTAAGTAAAATCCCTACATTTCAGAGCCAAAATTTCAAATTATATTTTAAACTTTACTAAAATAAGTTACATAGTTTGACTCTGTTACTATGTTACCATAAATAGAGCTGAACTAAATCAGCTAAGAACATGCGTTTAAACAGCGCCATGGGGCAAAAGGTCCTTCCATAAATACCATTTAACCAAGATACTGAGATCCCTTGACGTCAAAACAAAAGCACCAATACTAAATAAAAATATCTAAAAAACAAATAATACAGCTTCTATATAAAAAGGAAGTCTTCTTATAAGATAGGGTTTACAAAAAACCTGCCTTGAAGCTAAGTTCATTTACTGCAAACAAATAAATCATGGCTGAAGTATTCACTAATGTTATTAACCCATTTCTAAATATGGATAGAAAAACAACATATAATTTAGCAAGTTTTAAAATAATACCCAAATCAATACACATTCAACATTAGTTTCTCTAATGTACAGAACATACCAAGCCTAAGACAATTACTAGAAAATTTCTATAACATTTTGTTTAAAAGAGAACAAAGCTAATTGACCATAACTGCTAAGAAATTTCTTCTTCTTTTTTAAAGAATGGTCACTGGAATGATAAAAAGCATAAATCATAGTCTACTCTGGGAAAATTCTTCATATTCTAAAACAGACATGTCCCTTTTTCTATAGTTCACAGGATTTGTGTAGAAACTGAAGGAAGGTTAGATTTAGGAGATAAAGATAGGTTCAACAGAAAGTCATAATCTCCTGAGATAAAACAAGGGAATGTGACACTAAAAAGAGCTGACACTTTCATGTGTGCTGAAAATAAGCACCAAAAATCTCTTAAAAACATGAAAGCAGGGGCTAGGGTTGTGGCTCAGTGGTAGAGCTCTCACCTAGCACATGTGAGGCGCTGGGTTTGATCCTCAGCACCATGTAAAAAAAAAGTAAAGATACTGTGTCCAACTACAACTACACACACACACACACACACACACACACACAGTAAAGTTGCCACCAATAATGCAAAACATTTACCATTCCTGAAAGCCATGCTCTTGTGGAAAAGAGTTATGTCCGAACACCAAAAACCCTAGTGGCCCTGTACCTCTGATTCTCCTTCCTACACTTTGTGTTTGTGAGAGGAAGGCATCTATAAATGCCTTCACTTCTACTACATGGTGCCCTGGCTTTTCCACATTTGAAATAATAGATTATTTTTTCAATCTTAACACTATCATTTTGACACTTATAAAAATAATGCCTTTGTGTGACCAAATTCTTGTAAAGGATGGCAAAAAGAAGTTTGTCTTCTACTTTAAGTATGCAAATATTACAGAAGACTCACTGGAAAAGACTCTGGACACTCTGAACCTCTTTAAAGTGGAAGCAGAGCAGCGTGTTCACTGAGCTGTAGCACAGCTGACGGCACTGAGTGCCTCCACAGCGTCAGCAGCAAGGGCTACCAGCCAACCCACAGCCGGCTTTCTGCCTGCTAGCCCCTGCTAGCCCCTACTCAACGTGAACAACAGCCATGTCTTTATCTGACCAGCTGGACAAAGGATGAAATGGAGACTTGGAGAGAATAAGTAGCTTTTCTCGGGTCAGCCTTGAGTAAAAACCAGATGAACCTCAGAATTACATCGGTTCCTATAACAACAGGAATAATGTGGTAAGTCTGTGCTATGGTAAAACCCCAGTTAATTCTTACAAAAATCATGTGAAGTAGAGATAATAACCCCTGCTTTACAATTCAGGGCAATGGTATTGAAAGAAAAAAGGAAAAAAAAAAAACCCATAAAGCCAATTTTTTAATCTCATAGACAAAATCATTGAGGTGTACTAATTATGTGAAATATCAAAGGTCTCACATTCTAAAGTGACCAAGGTGAGGTGTGAACCCAGGTCTGTTTGGCTCCAAAATTTGTTTACTTAACCATTAAGTCACATTGTCACCAAGAAGAAGAGTGTAGTAATGGAACAGAAAAGTACTACCAGATGTATGAGGTTTCATTATTTGCTCATCAAACTATTATTGAGTCCCTATTGCCCTGTGTTACTGGCGTGAATTCTAGTGTTGAAGCTTAGACTCCAAAGCAATTGTGTTAAGAGGGGAGCCCTATAGGAGGTGGTTAGGTCTTAAATGCTCCTCCCTTGTGAATGGGATTAAAGCTCTCATAAAAGAGATTCCACGCAGCCAGTTGGCTTCTTTAAGTCCTTCCATCTCTTCTGCCATGTGAGAACACAGTATCCATAGTACCATCTTAGAAGCAGTTTTCAGTTCCTCACCAAACCTAAACCTTTGGAGCCTTTGATCTTCCCAGAACTGTGAGAATAAATTTCTGTCCTTTATAAATTACCCAGTCTCAGGTATTTAATTACAGCAGCACAACTGGGCTAAGATACTCTGCAAATAATACCAGAATTGGCAAAGATACAATTAATTGATACACTAATCCACTGACTATTAAAAATGTATGTTAGAATAGTCTGGAAAGACATAGCACAGAGCATCAGAAGCCTTAAGTTCCTACCCAATGTATGTACATTTTGCACAACTTAAATACATGAATGTTGGGTGAATCTCTGTTTTAGGACATTACATTTATACGTTATTATTGGGGTTCATTTTGACATATTCATAAATGCATATAACAGTTTTCTCCATTTCAATCCCCAGTGCTGTCACCCTCCTTCTCTTCCTCCCTTCTGATTCCCTTCCTCTACTCTGTTGTCTTCCTTCCATCTATTTACTTATTTATTGGTACATGATAGCTATATATAAAATTGGAATGCACTGTGATATATTTATGCATACATATAGCATAATTTGGTCAACTTTATTCTCCAGTTCTTCCCGTTTCCCTCTCCTCCTCCCTCCCCATTAGTCCCCTGCTTCTACTATACTGCTCTCTCTTCTGTTTTCAAGAGATCAATCCCCTCCTTTTCTACCTCCTTTTCCTCTCTAGTATCTGCATAGGAAGGAGAATATTCCACCCTGGTTTTCTGCATCTGGCTTACTTTACTTAGGATGACGTTCTCCAGTTCCACCCATTTACCAGCAAATGACATAATTTTATTCTTCTTTATGGATGAGTAGAACTCCACTGTATATATGTACCATATTTTCTATATCTATTGCATACATCTTGATAATCTAGCTACTATAGAATTGTAGAATGTTACCTTTTGTTAGGAGATTACTATTTTAAAATATATCTATCTGTTCATGTTCTACTTTAGGGGTTAATGAAGTACAGCCCACCATCTGTTTTGGAAATAAACATTTTCTGGTACATGGCCAAGTTCGTTCCTTCTTGTGTTATCTATGGTTGCTTTTCAATTGCAATGGCAGAGTTAAGAGGAAAAGACCAGATGACCTTGTGAAGCTACTGCTCCTTAATATTTGCTGATTTCTGATCTAATTTTTAGTTCTATAAAACTCTAACTAGAATAGACTTTAAATGAAAATTTAAGATAACCTACCATTTGGTTTTCATAGGTTATTATTCTGAATCCCTAATAGGAGGACAAGCTGGCCAAATTAAACACAAGCTAGTTTGGTTATCTCTGAAAGAAATATAAACTTAAAGGGATATAAAGGATCACAGCACTCTTCTAAGATTTATTTGACTTTCCTGAGAATATTGACAGGAAAATCTAAGTTTTTCTCATTTTTAACCAATATGAAAATAACAAACTGATACATCTCCAAATCTATAAGACAATAAACAATATGGTGTGAACAACAATCTCATTAGAAAGAATATTCAGAGAAAAAAAACATTACAAACCTTGTGTGTTCTTAAAGGACATAATGGCCTGTCTGTAGGGATTGGGTGCATCTGGAGCATCTGTCAGGTTAGCCAGCACCAGCAGAAGCAGGAGACTCTGGTTGGCCAGAGGGGAAGAAAGCTCTGGAGAGGCAGCCGCTTTGCTGCCCACACCTCCTAGTGTGAACACAGTCCAGAGTCCAGCTTGAGAAGAAAACACATAGGATTGCTGCCATCAATAATTTATGCATTTCTGCACAATATTCTACACTTTTTAATGTTTAAAATTTGAAATAACACCTTTTTTATTATAGGAGCAAAACAAGTTCATAATTTGAAAATTCTATTGTTCAAATGTTTTAAAGACTATCAGTTCCTAATTCCATAACTCTACATAGATAACCGTAAAAGATAATTATTTAAGAATTATCTTAATTATTGATAATTAACAATTATCTAAATTCTTCTTTACATAAGAAAGCATATGCATAATTATGAGAAAATTCCATGTACAACTTGATACCAATAATTCACAGTGCTCAAATCTGTAAACACACGAACTAGTCCCATTAATACCATCAGTATCAGCATTGTACTACTGGTACTCCAAGCAAGATTAAGGTAAGGAAAAAAGACTTCTTAAAAGTTAGGGGAAAAAAATATTCATTATTTGCACACATTATGATTGTCGATTTAGAGTGCACTGTCCAATAGAGTACCCCCTGGCCACTTATATTTATGGAACATGTGAAATATAGTTCAAATTGCATATGCTGTGGGTATAAAATATACAATGAATTCTGACAATTTAATACAGAAAAAGAAGAATGTAAAATATCTTACTATATTATCTTTGTAACACTGCTTACATGTATTTTGGATATAATGAGTTAATGTATATCATTAAAATTACTTTCACATGTTTCTTTTTATTTTTTAATAAGACTTCTAGAAATTTACAAATGTGACTTATATTTATATTGGGTAAAGATGCTCTAGAACATCAAAGACAATCAAATGACACTGCAATACTAACACACTATTATAACTAATAGAATATTTTGACACAGTTCTATGGCTATAAGATAAAAATCAAAGCCTTTTTATACATAGTGATAAATAATTAGAAAATATATTTTTCCAAGCCAGGTGTGGTGGCACACACTGGTAATCTCATCAACTCAAGACACTAAGACAAGAGGATTGCAAGTTCAAACCAGGCTCAGCAACGTAATGAGGGCCTGTCTCAAAATTTAAAAAAATTCGAGAGGTGGGATGCTGGGGATGTAGCTCAGTGGTAAAGTGACCCTGGGTTCAAATCCCCAAATTAAAAAGAAAGAAAAGAATATATTTAATTCCAATCATAATAGTAAAATACAATAAACTATTCAGGAATAAAACTAAAATATGTAAGACCTTCGGGAAAGCAACCCCAAAACTTGACTGAAGGCCATAAGAGATCTAAATTAATGTAAAGGCATAACATGTTTGTGGACAAAGACAGTACTGAAAAAAAAGTCACATCTGCCCCCAACTAAATCTAAAATTTTGTATGTTAGCCATCAAAATACGAATAAGAATTTATGTGACAGAAAATTTTATGCAAACAGAAGATTTTCAAAAGACTTATACCACCCAGCATTGGCAAAAGTTCAAATTGTAAACAGAAAGAGATCAAAGTGAAACAGGATTTGGTAGAGGATAATTTGGTAGTCTTCATTAAAATTTAAAATGCATATCCTCAGGCTGGGGAAGTAGCTCAAGAGGTAGACCACTTGCATAGCAAGCACAACTCCAGAAAATATGACATAATATACTTTGGAACTAGGGATACAGCCAATGGGGGTGGACAGGGGAAAGAGGGGAAGAAGAAGAGAGAAAGGATGGGAAGGAAGGAGAGGAAGGACTTCTGATAATTTTGGAGGAAAATAAAAATAACCAACACATATAACACTCATTCTATCTAGAAGAGTGGCAATGGATTTGTTATTTTACTTGAATCATTTTACATGTCTGTATTTATTACTTACTATAGTGGGCAGATGTTATTTTTTGAAAAACACCTTTGTCAAAGGAATTAAATGTTTCTGGAAAGTAATCAAAAAAACTGCATAGCAATATAAGCAACTGATAATTTTTATTCCTCCTGAACTGACACAGGCAGATACTTTTTATTCCTTTTTTTTTTTTACACTATAAACAGTTTAGTGTGAAAATTTGCTCTTTTCTAATACTGTGTGTTTTTAAATTCATGCAATCTAAACTACCTCATAAAAGCCTATCAATGTATCCTTTCTTACAGAATTTTGAGCATACAAATCTCAGACTTTTTCTATCATTCACTGGAATGGTTTACTACTAACTCAAGCTGTTATGAGGGAAGAGTGTAGTTCCCTACCCCATCAAATTTCAGAGATCCCTAGAGGAGTATGAAGGGAATTTCCAATGACATATTTGCTATAAGTCTTCAGTGAGACACAAGCAGAGTTGAGGCTCAGCAAGGATTTTTGTTTTTTTTAAAGCAGGAAGGATTTTAAGATAATTGAGGAATATACAAATGTTTCTGTTAGCAGTGTACTTCCTCCTTTTCGTTAAGAAAATCTGAGTAAAAAATATCAGTAATTGATATCTACAAATCACAGATTCCCATTTAGTCAAAACAATGGCCACAACAGTTAAGAAATAAGAAATTTAATAAGAAAATCGAAATTATTTAAGTATAGCCAGTAGCCAAGTATTAATTACTGGGATTGGTTTGTTGTTTATCTGTAATATTTTTTAAAAAACTTTTAGGTCATTTCCTTCCACTTAGAGGTTGTTCCATGACTGTCTGCCCCTTATATCCATCACTGTGTGTTCCAGGATTGCAAGTAAAGAAAAACACAATTAGGAAGTTCAATCCACAACAAAAATAATCACAAAATGCTTTCCAAGATAAAATAAGTAGTTTTTTTTTTTTAAAAAAATTCCTGTTTTTGTATTCTCTTTGCAGCTGCTCATTTTCATTACTATGAGAACCAAGAGTTGACTATCCCTGGACAAATTCCCAAATCAAAATATTAACTCTACTTAAGCACAACTTTACTCCCCCATTCCCTTTTGATTGTTTCTAAGAGGACCGAGAGCTGCTTATTAATGTCAGATAAACTAACATTTTATGAGGAATCTCCCCATCTACACACACACCAAAAAAGAAAAGAAAAGAAAAAAAAACACTTTCCTTTTCTAATGAACTGCAATGTTGCCTTTCCTTATAGGGAGAATGAGGCCACCTGCCATTGCTTACATTGTAGTTTAAACTGGCCCATGATATTGGATCAGAATTCTTCCAAAGGTTCATTTCTTTTTGTTGATCCAAGCCTCTGATCTATGACCCAAGAATCTTAGTGGAACTGTACTTTCCTGTTGGGGGCAAGGGGGACACTCCACCAGAAAAGTAAACGAAAGTTACAGTGTATTTTCTTCTGTTCCAAAAATTATATTAAGGATGGTTCCCAAAGTTATTTAATTATATCCCCTGGGTATTCCAAATAAGTTCTGAAATAAAATTGATCTAACTCAAACAAAAATGTACTGAAATTAACTAAAAAAACAAATCTGGTATTGATTCTATCGTTTTTTTAAGTTCTCAAGGATATGTATTCTTAAAACTCAAAATGTGATGAAAATACCAAGAATGACAAACTGAAACATTAATAAATATTATAATCATCAAGGAAAAGAGATTTCTCATTTAAAAAATATGGAACTCGGGCTAGGACTGTAGCTCAGTGGAAGAGTGCTTGCCTAGAATGTGCGAGGCACTGGGTTCTATCCTTAGCACAGCATAAAAAACTAAACAAATAAAGGAATTCTATCCATCTACAACTATAAAAATTTTTTTAAATGGAACTCAAAAAATCAATGCTATTTCCTTAAGAGTTAAAGAAACAGAGGTAAATTACTATTTTTCCATGTTAGTAAACATGCTACTTGCTAAATTAATTTCTTACATCAAACAAATATATTACAAAACACTAAGTATTCCTTCAGAACTATATAAAAATAACTAACATTATCAGAATAGTTATAAAAATCTGGTAAAATGGTCATATTCATATATTTTTAAAGATATAATATTATAACAATCTACATACTTGAGAAAACTATGACGATAGGTCAGCTATCCTATTGTCCATGGATGAAAATTCCACTAGAGATATTTCAATCCACACCTACAAGAGGCTATTCAGTCAACAGATTAGGAATGCCTGCTAGGGTTAGGCTCTACACCACAACTGAAAATACAAATAAGGAAAGCCTCCCACTCTGACTTTGAGGAAGTTAGTACAACAGGGAGAAAAGGGTTCTAACAACTAAGAACCAACTTTAGTTGCCACCACAATCCAAAAAATCTCTCAAAACATCTGGGCTTTTCATATACAAGTATAGAAAAATAATAAGGGAAGACAGTTTTACCAAAAAAGTTAGTAAACATGTTCCAGGATAAACACGATGGCAAGCCCTCCTTTCTATAAAGGACATACACAGTGGGATTCAGCAATGTAAGCTGCATTTCCCAACCTTTCCTGCAGAAAATTATGTATCATAAATGCAATTATGTATCATAACATTCCAGAATATTACTCCTCAGAGTTTTTTTTTTACAAATAATATTTTAAATTTTCTGCCCATAATTTTTAAAAACTTTTTATTTTAAGACAACTGTATAGAGCCTGGGTAGAATATGAGGAGGGCAGATTAAAAAAATATACAACTGTAGATTCACATACAGAAGGATCCTGTATACCCTTTACCCAATTTCCTCTAACAGTAACATCTTAAAAAATTGTAACACAATATCACAATCAGGACTTTAGCACTGATATAGACAAAATACAGAAGAAATTTACCACTAGTTAGGAAAATCTGCATGGAAAAAAATATTTGACAATCACTTAACTTCTCTATAGTTCATTTTCCCAATCACCTATACTCCAAACAGATGAAACTCCCTATCTCTAAATATACCCCGACTGCCTGTGTACTGACATACATACATTCAACTCATGGTGTATTCAGGACCTGCTACAGATTGGGCAAAGTGCAAGAAACTGGATTTGAACTGATGAACCAAAGATAATCATGCTCTACCCACTGTAGCTTAAAGTCTAAAGGAAACACTAACATAGAACAAAAATAAGCAAATGAACTACAGTATGTTT